CTATTATTTGTCTATTTGTTTTCCTGAGAAACTATTTTGTAGATAATAATACGTAAAACGATAACCATTGATAATTTCCTACCATTTTGTCTGTAATTTGCTGGGTCCCCCCTATTATTATGTTATCCTTCTTTTATTCTTTAAAATAAAAAAAACTTTCTTTGTAAATAGTAAATATTTTATTTTAAATGAATATTTATTTTTGTGAAGGTAATCTATGAACATGATTAAATATTAAGAAGGAATAAGTGTTCCTCAGTGAACACTGTGTTCCTTTCACACCTGTCTCGGAGCCACTCACTCCTTCTTCACAGGGTGTTGCTATTGCTAGGCGTCTTCTGAACTGATACAGAGCCATCCTGTGCATGGAAATGTGCTGTATTCTGACTCTTCCCACATTATTTGTTTTGTTTCTTGTTTTTTGTTTTTTGTTTTTAATCTAATAATATATCTTGGAAAGTGTTTCATAACAGTACATGCAAAACTGCATTTTTTATTACTTGGTTTTATATTTCATACATTTTTAATGGCCACCTAGCTTTCCATTATGTGCATATATAGAAATGTATTTTACATACACCCTATCATTCATGCTTAGCCTATTTTTCTCATACTCTTTCACGATGTTGCAATAAATAATATTGTAAACATATCACTAGAATACATGTGAGATACTCTTTCAGAAAGGAATAGTTAAGCCAAAGTGTGACTTTAGTCAGTATCATATTAAATTGGAAGAAACTGAAAGCTTTCCCTCTAAATAAAAAACAAGACAAAGATACTCTCTATCACCACTACTCTTCAGTACAGTTCTTGAAAGATTATCCACAGCAATTGGGCAAGAAAAAGAAATAAAAGATATATGTATAGGGGAGGAAAAAGTCAAACTATCATTAATTGTAGATAACATGATAATCTGCACAGAAGACACAAAAAATTCCACCAAAAATCTTAATGCCAAATTCAGTAGTTCAGGGCCAGGGATATAGCTCAGGAGCACACATGCCTACCTGGCAAGTGCAAGGTCCTGAGTTTGATTCCCAATACCAAAACAAAAACAAACTCAGTAGTTCAACAGGAGACAAAATTGACACACAAAAATCGATAGCATTTTTGTACACCAATAGTAAGCTAAATAAAAAAATAAATAAGGGAAACAATAACTTTCACAATAGCATCAAGAAAAATTAAGTACCTAGGAATTAACCTAAGCAAGAAAGTGAAAGATCTCTACAATGAAAACTACAGTACTCTGAAAAAAAGATCACAGAGGACATCAGAAAATAATAGACATCCCCTCTTTTTGGATATGAGGAACAAATACAAGCAAAATGACAATACTTTCAAAACTGATATACAGATGTAATACAATCCCAATTAATGCCAATAGTTTTCTCCATAGAACTAGAGAAAACAAGTCTAAAATTCATATGAAACTAGAAAAGATTTAGAACAGCAAAAGCAATCCTGGGCAACAAAAGCTGAGCAGAAAGAATCGCAATTCTAGATTTCAAGCTATAAGTTAGTCTACAAAGTGATTAAAAACAGCCTGGTATTGGCAAAAACAAAAACAAAAACAAAAAACAAAAAGAAATCAAAACCAACCAACCAACAAACCAAAAATAGACATGTGATCAAACAGAGAGGATGCAGAAAAACTCCAGCACATTCAGCTACTGGATCAACAAAAGGGCCAAAAACTTATGTTGGAAAAAAGATAGCCTCTTTATAAA